ACTAATAATAAAAAAGGCAAGGAACTTCCAAAGCAACAGGGTTTTTTGCTTTATTTATTATACCAAGACTTTTACAAATCAAACCATGACTAGCCTTTAAAAACCATGACTAGCCTTTAAAAACATGGGTGTCTATTAAAGAAATTGTGTGATAATCAGAAAGCAACAATTATGACAAAACATGTAACAATTAAATCATTTAAGCCAAGAAAGTGGTATGTATTTAATTCCATTTGTTAACTGAATCATGAGAATTTCTTGACTACATAGATATTAAAACTGCTGAGAAAACTGAGAAACATCAATAAACCAAGGTATTTTAATGATAAGCTTTGGTGGGCTACAAGTCAGGAAGGCAAGATATTTTCTGTGGAAGGCTAAAGAAAAGATATGAAAACAATTCCCCCAAGAATATGTCAGAGGGCTAGTACCAGCAGACTTTAATTCTCTAATCTCAAATTCAATTCTAAATAAAGTCAAAAGCTCACTACAGTAGTTAAGGAGCAAGAATTATTGGAAAAGACGCTGAAGCTGGCAAAACAAAAAGCAATCCAGGCCAGCAGCAGATATCAGCAGCTGACAGAAGCAGGAACTTAGAACTTCAAAGAATATTTATTGATAGTCTTGGTGAAATGATGCCCATATGTCTTTTACTAAATTTATATCTAAGAGTATACCAAATACAAATGTCATGCCCCTGTTGGAGTCTGACTTGAGCTACAGATGGAACAGCTGACAGGGAATGGGAGTGTGGCTCCATTGGTTGTGGAGGAAACTGGGCACAAGCCGGATGGGCATTCAGAGGAAGACCCAGGCCCATCTCCTCTTCATCCTAGGGCATGCAGGGTGGAACAGATAAGGGAGAACCGTGAGTGGTGTGGTCTATGGGGGAAGAAGGGGCCTTGATCCCCTTCATGGGCTGCAGCTGGGAGGACTGGTTAAAAGGACAAAATGTGCATGGCAAAGTTGCTGGAAGCAAAGCGTGTATTCTTGTCAGACCTTATCTGTTTTGGCTTCCTCCCAACTGTGGTTGCTACATTATCTGGTAAAAATCTGCAATTAATCATTCTTGTCTGCCATAGTAATTCCTTCAGTGTGGTGTGTTGGGTTTTTTATTTCAAATTAACTTTACCTTGGGTGCGGACTGCATTTAGTCCCTCTGTAAACTCCTTTAAGAGTTTAATATCCAGCTGAGGATAGTTGGACATGGGGCCAAGTTGGAGGCATTAAAGGAACTTTCTTCTATTTTTGTAACTTGGTTATTTTTGTGTCAAGCCCCAGGTAATATGCTTCTAAAAAAGTAGTTTTAAGCCAGGAATTGTCTTATCTCATTTATCAAATGTTACACATTGCTACAGACTATTTGTAATCTGCCATGTTCTCATGCTTTTCTTTCTCAAAAACCCCCAATGTTATAAAAAGATGAAATAATTGCACAACACATTCTGAGTGGTAGTTGTTGTAATTTCCCTCTCCCCTCATCCCTGTCTAAAACTAAATCACACAAAGTTGCAGTAATGTATTTTTTATAATGGATAAAATATTCCCAATCGTAGTAGTCCAAACAACCAAGTATTTGTACTTTTTTCTAGGCGTAATATTAGGGCTCTCTAAAGCGCACCACAAAATATTTATTTGCAGAGCACATTATAAGCATTACAATTTTTGTTGTTTTGACTCAGTATTTGCATCTTTATGAAAAATCTACCTAGTGAAAAGTGCAGGATATGTGTAATACAACCATCATTTCAGGCAGATGTTCCAACATGATCATGCTGGAATACAGTACATCATCCACAATCAACATAGCGTATAATGAGTTGAAACTGGGGAAAAGTGACCTATGTATTATTATACTTATTTTTTTTTTACTTTGCAGGAAGAAAATGCTCTTAAATGTAAGAAGAGGTTATCCTGTTATTTTAACCTTATTTTATTTATTATTTTAACCTGTCCGGCTTTCAAGCAGATTATATAGACAGAGGGAAATCCCACAGAGTAAGTCAGTCCGGGCAAAGTAAGTCCGGGTTTATATCCACGAAGTTGTATTGAGGAAGTAAAAGCAAAGGACGAGAAAAACAAGGCAAAGAACCGGAGTTCGCTTCGAGGGAAGAGAGAGGCGAAGACAGGGGTTTAGAGACGAGGTTAGGCAGGATCGGGACAGCCGGCCCGGGCTTTCCAGCCGCACTTTTTGGTTCTGCAACCAACCAGCTTTTTCTCCTCACCGCGGCCGTTCCACCCTCGCCTCAGCTCGCGGCAGGGGGGAAAAAAAAAAAATACCAGCAGGCGGGAGGCAGAGGCTTCGCGGGGTCTCTTCCACTTCTCCCTCACCCCACCCCTCCCGCAAGCCCTCTCCGCAACACGTCCGAGAGAAAAGCGCTCAGCCTTCCCAGGATCTCCCTCCCTCCCTCCTCCCATCCCCCGAAGGTGGCTGAAGGGCACAAAGGGGGGTGCACGAGCCTCTCATAAGACTGACACCTCAACCGGACACGCCCCCTCCTTACTTTCCGTCTCCGCGGAAGCCGAACTTAATCCGAGCAGCCCCGGATCCGGGCTAGTTCCGCGCCTGGGTGCCGGCGCGAAATCATTCTCCGAGCCCCGAGCTCGAAGGCATCGGCATCACTTTTCCTAGACTTTAGTCTTTCCTGAAAACCAGCTCCTTCTCCTTGCTGGCCTTCCCACGCAAGCGCGCAGGAAGGCGGCCAGGCCACCACCCACTTGAAGGAGACGTCCGCTACCAATCTCCGGGATGGACTCATCTGCGGCTGCGCAGTTGCTAGGCGAAGTTCTTCGTTCCGCCAGCCGCCGCCACCACCCCCTCCCTCCGGTGGGTGTGTTCGAGAGAGTTTCGGGTGTTAATTGCGGGAGGCGGGGCTCCCGTGTGGAGTTGCGTTTCGGACGCTGGTTGCGGTGGTGGACGTGATGGACGAGCGGATGAAATTTACCTTCCTTGCTCCCCGAACTTTTTTGGGAACCGGGATTTAGACTCAGCAGGTGGAAGGAATTCTGGACCTGATTTGCCAGCTTCGGTATTAGCGGTATTCCAGGTAATTACAATTTGTAATAATAAATGGGCTAACATCGCGGATTGGCAGGAGAAGAAAGACGAGTGCATTCCCTAAATCTAAAACGTTGTTAGCACATCCAGGGTTCCTAAGCAGTTTTATTGAGAAAAACGAGGAATGCCAAAGGTGCTTTTTCAAAAAGCTGTTTTTCCTTAAAAAGGTTTCACTTCTCACCCAAGAAGCTTTTTTAGTTCTGAAGAAGCATCTTTGGGACAACCATGAACTGAATGACTGAGAATCTCCATAGACATATAAACAGGAAAGTGTCCCAGAACCTTGGAGCATGAAGCAAATAGAAAAATGCCTTTGTTCAAAGTATTTTACTAATTTCTGAGATACTTAATACATAATGTTGTGTCCACAGGTTTTTGCAAAACACAACACAAATAATTCGCCGACATGAGAGTCCCTAGCTGGCCGGGTTTGGGCATTCATGCTAAGTGGTAGGGCTACATAATATTAGAGTCTAAAGGAAGATTTTCAGTGGTAAAGCACTTTTGAGTACTAGTAGCCAAAGACTGCTTGTCAAGCTGTCCTAGGTTAGATTAGGATATTGGACAAACCCAGGCTTTGTAGCTATTTTTGGTTTTCATAGTATATGAAGCTTGATATCCACAGATAAGGGTGTTGTGTGAGCACAGCCATAGATTTGTAGTGATTTGCTTATATTCTATTTTTTTCTGTTTTGTGCCTAACCACATCACAAAGATGTCCTGTCAACATCTTTTCTATCATGACCTGATGACTTTACCTTCATCTTATCTCAACTGTGAGTGAGAAAGTCTGTATGGTTGTTAAAGAGGGTTTTTCTCCCTCCAAGGTAAAAAGGTTGAGAAAGAATCATTTTGGGGAAAAATACAACTACTTTAAGGTGTTGCATGTAGGTGCTGTGTTGTACTCCTGAATTCTCCAGAGCACCTTTCAGAGATCTAAGTAAGAAATGCTTTACAGTTCCACTTCATATTTCCATCCATTTATCTGGTTAATAATGGTGCTAGTGTAACTCTTTAACCATGGATAAAACTGATGCAAAGAAATATATGTTTGAAAATAAACTTTGTGGAGTGCACAAGTGAAAGTAACTTTTTCTTGCTATACATATTATTTCTAATGTTTTTGGGTTAATATGACAGTTGCCTTTAAAAATATCCAGTCATATTAATCACACAAATCAAGTTGAAATATCTGTGGTTCAGATAAAAATGTTTATAATACTGTAGTCAGTATTTCAGAAGTTCACTAATCAGAGTCCTAAATAATGTTCACTTAGAGGTAGCAAATTTATTACTGAAGTTCAAACTTCAAAAGTTAATGTTGTTAAAATAAATGTGTGAACGCAGAACTGTGGACATATATTTAAATATTCTTCAGTTAGGAATGAACCATTTGCCCAAGAAATAGTCTTTATCTACTGATTTTTCAACAGAAAAGGCTACTGATAAAAATTTGTTCTCAGATATGATGAAATTAACAGAGAGAGGCCCAAAAAATTATTAGTCTAGGAACACAAGTCTCAGTGAAGTCAGATCATTACTCTTCCAATGCTGGGTTTGATCTGAATGTTATATCTAAAAGGAATTTTATAGTTCAGAGGTCCTTCATTTTCCATTGAATTGAAAGTTGAGGTATATTGTGCTATACTTAAGATACTATATTTTCAGGATCTTTTTCACTGAAAGTTAAAATGTTAGCTGCTATGGCCCGGCATTTTATTTTGAAATAGAGTTTTAAGAGTAAGATGAGGTGAATGCCTTCAGGGCTACAGGAAGTATCATAAAACAGGAAATAGAATCTCAGAATTCATTTTTGGTCATGCTTGCCAGCGAAAATATTTCATGAATGGGCAATTGCAAGCCCCTAGACCAGGGGTCCCCAAACTTGGCAACTTTAAGACTTGTGGACTTCAACTCCCAGAATTC